TTACATTTACACCAACAGTGTAAAAGGGTCCCCTTTTCTCCACACCCTCTCGAGCATTTATTATTTGTAGACTTTTTGATGAGGGCCATTCTGACCCGTGTGAGGTTATATATTATTGTAGTTTTGATTTGCATTTCTCTAATAATTAGCGATACTGAGCATCTTTTCATGTGCCTGTTGTATGCCTTCTTTGGAGAAATGTCTATTAAGGTGTTTGGCCCATTTTTTGATTGGGTTGTTTGTTTTCTATATTGAGCTGTATGATCTGTTTGTATATTTTGGAAATTAAGCCCTGTTGGTCACATCGTTTGCAAATAATTTCTCCCATTCTGTAGGTTGTCTTTTCATTTTGTTTATGGTTTTCTTTGCTGTGCAAAGCTTCAAGTTTCATTAGGTCCCATTTTATTATTTTTGCTTTCATTTCCATTACTCTAGGAGACAGATTCAAAAATTATTGCTGCAATTTATGTCAAAGAGTGTTCTGCCTATGTTTTCCTCTGGGAGTTTTATAGTATCTGGTCTTACATTTAGGTCTTTAATCCATTTTGAGTTTGTTTTTGTGTATGGTGTTAGAGAGTGTTCTAATTTCATTCTTTTACATGCTGTCCAGTTTTCCCAGTACCACTTATTGAAGAGACTGTCTTTTTTCCATTGTATATTCTTGCCTCTTTGTTGAAGATTAATTGACCGTAGGTGTGTGGGCTTATTTCTGGGCTCTCTATTTCATTGATCCGTATGTCTGTTTTTGTGCCAATACCATGCTGTTTTGATTACTGTAGCTTTGTAGTATTGTCTGAAGTCTGGGAGGGTTATGCCTCCAGCTTTGTTCTTTTTCCTCAGGATTGCTTTGGCAATTCTGGGTCTTTTGTGGTTCCATATAAATTTTAGCGTTATTTGTTCTAGTTCTTTGAAAAATGTCATGGGTAATTTGATAGGGATAACATTAAATCTGTAAATTGCTTTGGGTAGTATGGCCATTTTAATAATGTTAATTCTTCTAATCCAAGAACATCATCTGGTAATTTTAAACATCTATTAATGGCCCTTGCCTGAATGAATTATTACATTGGTAATAATTTCATTATTCCCTCTCTCTATATATATTAGCTGCCATTTTTTTGATAAAGAACTTTCCTTGTCCCCAACACATACTTCTATTTAAAAAAATGTCCTCAGTCGATTTCATTTTTATTCTAATATATTATTTATTACTGTTATTATTTTTTTTTTAAATCTCAAATTTGGCCAATGGGAAACCCCTCAAAGTGGCTCCTCTGCCTTTGGAGACAATGACCTTTCGTCCAAAGACATAGCCAGCCTGAGAAGACTCTAGAGGGAGGGAGCCAGGAAAATACATAACCGTTCCTTCCTCTGACGTCCTGCTGGAAGTCGAAGCTTGACTGAAGTGCCTTGATGTAGTTCATATAGGTCAGTTTTCCAAGTGCAGAGAGCAGTATGGAGAAAGGTAGAGAGTGAGTCCAGAGGGACAAACAAGGTATCTGGCAAATGTATGCATATATAGAGTCATGGACCCCTTGAAATCACTATGTAAACCAGAGGTTTGAAACCTCTGTGTTATTTAATCCCTTTTGCTAGTAGATCTACTGAGTGCTAGCAGTGTATGTGGTTTATTTATGTCTTATATGAATGTTACTTTCTACTCTGAGATTTCTCTTAAAAAAAATTCATCAGCTCTTATTCTCAATTTCAGTATTTCTCAACAGTGCTCCTCATTGCACTTTTAAATATATGACCAAGTAGTCTTGACCCTCAGAGTCCTCTATAAATAGCTCCATTGCTCTTTTCATCTAGGAGATTAAGATCCAAAATAGTTTCAGACACTTCAGACACCATTCTGTTGCTAATATCTCTAGGGAAGAAACAATGTCTGTTAACTTCTTTCTTCTGATCACTCATCTGTTTTATTATTTTATGAGACAGTTTCATCAGAAACATTGTATTTGGGATTGAGCATTTACTGAGTAATAAAAAAAAGGCTTTATGGCCCCAATTACTTCTGAATGGGAGTTAATTACAGGGCCTCTCAGTGAATCAGAACCATTGTATTGTTATAGCATCTTTGTATTTTTTTAGTATGTTTTTTAGCCAAATGTATAATCTATTGCATAATCCAAGTTATTTAAATTTTGGTAGATTGCTATTAATTTCCCCTCTAAATTTCACCTTTTATCTGTGTTAACAATATCTTCTTGCTGAGTGCCACATGTTTCTTCTTGTTTGATAATATATCCCCTCTCTAACATCAGGTAAGCTCATTTCTGTTTTAGTTTTTAAATGTAATATTCATTTCACTACTTTTTAGGATTTGTTTTCATAGATCACATTTTCGAAGCTAAGCTTTCGGACTTAACCCCTACTTTTTTCCCTAGTTTTATAGTGGGAGCAAAGTAGTGTTTACACAACCTAATTAACTTTACAAATAATGTTCTATTATTGTTATTCCTCTTCAGTCTTTTCTGAATTAATTGAACCTCAGTTATGAAGTGTTTTTAAATATCACTTCTTATTTATTAAATTCTAAATATCAGTATTTTTTAAAGTGCATCAGTTATTACCGTAAGCCAGATTCCTAAGATGGAATATTTCATATTACTTAAAAGATTTAATGAGAACACTTTTTAATATGTTACTGACAGTTTTTTTCTTTCTTCAGTGAGTATGACATTAACATGTCTCCTCATTAACCAAAAATCTTAGTGGTCTTCTGATAATCATTTTGAACCTTATAACCATTTTTATCATACTAAAGATGTTGAAATTATAGGAGATTTGGGTCCAATATTTATTCATTAATTCAGTCAGGCAAGCATTCTTTGGTAGGCCCTAAGGACCCAAAGATGAATACTGCACAGTCACTGCCCACAGACATATAAGCAAATATAGTATGTAATAAGGGAAAAGATATGAATAATACAGTGTGGTAAGTATTATAATCAGTGTATGCTTAAGGTAGGTGAGTGACGCAAAGCATAAGTAACATTTCTTGGGGTGCTGCCAGAAAAGACTTGTTAGGGGAGAAGACATAATAAATGTTTAATAGGTGAATAAACACTAATAAGTAATAAAAAAGGATATAGTTCTATGCTGTGGGCTCTAAAATTCTATTATCGGGAATTCCCTGGCGGTCCAGTGGTTAGGACTCCGCACTTTCACTGCCGAGGGCCTGGGTTCAATCCCTGGTTGGGGAACTAAGATTCTGCAAGCCATGTGGTGCAGCCAAAAAAAAAAAAATTCTATTATTTTATTTAAACATAAGTTAGGGAGAAACTTAGACACTTGAAAATGCAACTAATGTTATGAGGTTATACAGCACGTGCTGATTGCCAAGTGAATGATACAGTAACTAGAATTTATTGATATATTCTGCTACACAGACTATATATCTGATATTATATGTAATCCTCACTAACTCTCTGAGGTAGGTACTGATACTAAGGCCATTTTACAGGGAAAGGCACTTGAGGTTTACAGAGGTAAAATAACCTCCTAAGATCACACAGCTAAAATATGGTGGAGCCAGGATACCTGCTCAAGACAAGATCAGCTTTAGAAACAGTGTTCTTAATCATTAAAAAATGAACATAAGGAACCATAGGAACCCAGAGGAGAAGGAAAAACTTGCCTGTTGAGAGCATTTGGAGAAGAGTTAAAAATTAGATACATGATGGGTATCATGATGGGTATATTCCAGGCATGGGTATTGGCATACATAAGTGTTGGTTGGGCAGTATACCGTAAGTAAACTGGACCAGTATGATGGAGTAGTTCATTCATGTAGGAGCATCAGGGAAGATCAGGTTGGAATCTGAGGATGGAATGGGAACCATCTGTAAAAAATCCTGAAAATGAGTAATCTGTACTTGATCTGATAGAGAGCCATTGAGGTTATGGGAGCAAGGGAGTAATATGGAAGTCACTGTAACATAATTGTTAAGTTCTTGAGTATCATTTTCAGATTTTGTGATCTTTAGCATGCAAGTTTACTACTCTTAGGTTCCTTTGTCTTATCTATAAAATGATAATGGTAATACTATCTATCTCACAGAGATTAATTTGTAAAACCTGACATATCCAAGCATTGAGCAAATGTTACATATTATTATTATTGTTGATGTGTTTTAGTAAATTTAATCTGAGAACAGTGCATAGGAGTCTAGGCCTAAGCATTAGGCCGTTAGTTGAGAAATGCTTGAAACATAGTTTTAGCAGGTAAATGGAAAGGAAGGGACAAATACTAGGACTGTTTTAGATGAGTAATATCAATATGTTAAGGTATATAGCTTTCTAAAAATACATGTTTCTTTGTGCTGTTTCATAATATTCATGTTTTCATTGTTATATCAATAGTTAATAACTGAAAACTGAATGTAACTTTATAATTTACAAAGCCACTTTGACATGTTATTGAATTTGATTCTCAGAACCATTCTGTGAGATACTATTATTTCCATTTTATTAAGGCTCAGAGAGGTTAAGTGATTCATTGAAGATCATGCAAATTAATAAAGGAAGCAGTTTAAAACTTGCGTTTTCATACACCTATTCTAGTGCTTTCCCCTTTATTCCTATATTATGTTATGACGAGAACTGATGTACTATAGCAGGCAACAGTATGAAAAACTATTATTAGTATTTGAAAGAGTTAATATCATTTCTTAGACATCTGCCTTAATACCAAGAAATAACCAAGGCATGAAAGGAGAGAGACAAGTTCAGAGTCTACTAGTTATCTAATTCATATATAAACCCAGTGATATTTGAATATAATCTCTGTTTAGAAGATCACAATATTAAGTGGCTATAATTTGCCATTTTAATAAACCTTCGGCAAAAATGAAAATAAACTCTTGATTTTCTGCACCAAACCATATTAGGCATTTAATACACTCTGGGTGATTGTAAAATATTTTACAATAGAGCTATTTCTTAAGTGTTTTTAAATAGTATTGATCATGAAACTTTTTGAAATTTACCATCAGGCCAATGGTGGCAGAGTCTACATAGAACTATGCTTCGTGGTGTTCTGGGAAAAACCTTTCGGCTTGTTGGCTATACTATTCAGTATGGCTGTATAGCTCATTGTGCTTTTGAATACGTTGGTGGTGTTGTCATGGTAAGTTTTTACATTCAAGAAAATAATCATTTAAAATATGTTTTTTTTTTAATTGAAGGAAGAGAGTGTTTGAATTGGCACTGATATAAAATATAAGAACTGTAACTTTAAATATGGTCCTGCATTGTTTCTTGCAGGGGCACAAAGGCCCTATTAATCTAATAATACTAGTTTTTACCATTTATTGAATGCTACTTACTGTGTTCCAGGATGTGTTTGATGTTTTACATTTATTAACTCATTTAATCTTTTACACTATGAGATACTTACTAGAAATCTCTTATACACATGAGGAAACTGAGGCTCAGAAAGCTTAAGTAACTTTCTGCAGGTCCCACAATTCCAAGTAGACTTGGAATTTCAGCACAGATTTCTCTGATTTTCAAAACCCCTACTTTTAACCACTGTGAAGAGTATCAATAACTGTCCTGAAAATAAATGATTATTCTGCCTTGTGTCAACATCAAAATGTTAAGGCTGTCCTCCTACCAATGCATTTCCTTAATATTGCATCATAAATCTATCGACCATGACAATACTAACCTTTTGTCATATAAATGAAAGAATAAATTGATTGTTCAGTCAGTAAGTTTTGCTGTTGGTGTTGCTATTTTTATCAGGTTTACCCTAAGATATTCACAGTCATATAATCTCAAGTTGAGCTGGAGTAATGCAAATAAATATATTTAACTGAAACTCCCCTCTTTGATTTTTTAAAATTTACATTGGTATTTCCAGTAGGCTACAGAGTTAGCAAAAAACCTGCATTGTGGTCTTTGTTTTTTCTGCCCAAGTAGGAAGTTTTGAGTAAAAAGTTTTATTTACATGTAAGTGGAGTGAATGGAGACTGTTGTGTTTAGATTTTTCAAGTTGCAATGATCATTTATTACAGTTTTGAGATATATATGAAGATAATTGTTTTACCTACTAATATGAAAATCTTTAAAGTACATCTCATTATGCCAATATTTTTCAATAGAAAATATAAGTTGCAGCCCCATCAAATGAGTAAGCTGTTCTCTTGGAAGAAAAGGAAAGGCATCAACTCATTGAGAATAGTATGATACCACTTGGTAAATAACTGTCATGGGCACTGGATGATAGCTGACAGTAGCAAGAAAAAAAAATCATTAATTTATTCATTCAACAAGTATATATTGAGTATCAACCTTATGCCAAGCACTGTTCTTGACCTTGGTTACACAATTGGGAACATGAGAGACAAAGTCCGTGCCCTCATGATGCTTAAATTTTACAAGATGGCCAAAATTTGGAAACATAGATGTTATTTTATTTCTCTATTATAATATAATATTAACAAACCATTTTAAATATATTTTGCCTGTTTTTCCAGACTTGCTGGCTACTCTGTAGAGTTGAACTTATCTTGGAGCTTCCAGCTTATTATGAATCATCCTCCAAGCTTGAAGAACATTTGCTTGATTTTCTTTCTTTTAAGCCTGCTCAGATGATTTATATTTTAAAAGGTTTTCAACTTAAATTTAAAAATTGCCTTTCTTTCAGTGTTCTGGACCATCAATGGAGCCTACAATTCAAAATTCAGATATTGTTTTTGCAGAAAATCTTAGTCGACATTTTTATGGTATCCAAAGGTAAATTCTGCCACAGGTATATTAAATTGATGGTGAAAACACACATATACATTGTGTCTTTTCTGCACTTTCTTAACTTTAGCTTTAAAAACTCTTTTGTAAATAACCAAATTAATGACCAACTGGGTGAAATTTTGGCTCAAATTTTTTCTCTCAGTTTGAGAAATTTTAATAGTTTCTTTAAACATGCAGTTCCTTGTATCATTGTGCAAAGTAGATAGCAGTCCCTTTTATAATGTGCATTCAAGCCTTCTTTACTTTTTTTTTGCGGCGGGGGTTGGGAGGTGGGTTTGTCCTAGAATGTTTTGAATAAAGAACCAGGGACTTAGAAGCTACATTACATATCCAAATCAGTGATTTGATTTTTTAATTTTTAAAATAATCCTGCATTTCTATTGATGACTGTCTTATTCTCTATAGTCTATGATGAGCAGTCGGTGATTTTTAGACTCTAGCACTGTATATAGCTGGGAGCCAGGAATCTTATTTATTATAAGTCTCCTGATTAATTATATTAATTTAAAAAACTCCTTGGGAAATATTGTTTGCCACTACATCTTTTAAAATCCTACTCTAAATGGTGTTTCCAATCCTTGAGATACTGTTTATTCTACTTAACTCCCTGATTATTATTCCTTCTGAATGGATGTGAAGTTTTAGTAATTTAGTGTATTTTCTAAAGGACACCCCTTTGATTCCCTAAAATTTGGGGTCCATTAGTTTTTCATAATTCTGAAAAAATAGATCTGTATCACATTTCATCTTCATAAAATACAAATTTTACTCACTTGAGCTGGTATTTAGCTTATAACATAAGTAGGTTTAGGCATTCCTCTTTCATTATTGTCCTTTTTTATAGTCTACTTCCCATTACTGAAAAATCACCAAGAATAGTGTAAAAATGTTCTTTGTGTTTACTCGTTCTTCCACTATCTTAGATTCTGTAAATAGAAACTCTCTTGCTCAAGCTGTATGGTCTAGCATGGTCTGTGGGTAATTCCTCAGATCTTTTATCCGTAACAACTTCAAGATAATACCTAATTGATAGATATGGGGTTATAAAATAAAACTTATATAACAGGTTATGTTCTAGCTTCCTTTTCTTTTTAACTTGTATCAAAATAACTTATTACAGTCTTTGGATTAACTGGAGACCTAGCTTCGCTGCAACATGAAGACAAGCTTCTGTTTTCCATGCTAATCACATGATTTCACTCTCATAGTCCTTGAGCATCCTTAACAAGGAGCTGGACTCATTGGCTAAATAGTGTTTGAATGAACAGCTCAATATTGTCTTTTTTTTTTTTTGGATAGATACTCTTTGCATTCAGGTGGTAATACAAATAACTATATTTAGTAAATTAATTAAGATTCTTTAGAGGTTTTATTTTGTATTCTGCTCCTTCAGGGGGCCCATTAGATGGAAGGACAGTTCAAACTTTGGCATTTATAGGAGACATACCAAAGTAACTTTTACAGCCAAGGTAGTCAGTTGGTAACTCCTACTTTAAAAACATTACTGTCCTGAGTATTTTTTCTTTGTAGCACAGAACTCTTGAGATTTCAGGGGAATCTCTGACCCCTGGCAAGAGATCCTCTTGCTAGCTGTTTCTAAAGATAGAGTAGCCATTCATTTAGGGAAAATGAAAGTATGCATATCTGGTATCTAAAGGACATAGATTTTTCAGTCCAATGGACCGAACACTCATACTTGAGACAACCATAGTCTCTTATTACTACTTATTCTTTCAACAAATAGTTAATGAGCACCTCACTTATAAGATGTGCTGTACCTGATAGAGAATGTTAGGCTTAGCAAGATACTAACCCTTGTTTTCAAAAGCTTACACTCTAGGAGGGGATAATAAGGATATTTATAAATGATACAGGAAAATTTCAGTCTTAGTTCTATTAAGTTTCTTTTAAAATCCTATTTGAAAGAGTTGAGAGTCCAAGGTTATATATTTTGATTTAAGCTCTGTGCCTATAATATCTGGTTAGACCACCAGAAATATAGTATACAGTAATGATGCTTTCTATTAAAACACCTTGACTGAATTATGATTTTTACGTTGCCATTCGAGTGCAGAGTTTGTTTTGAGGATCATATTGATTATTTTGTCAAAACACTTAAGCTGAGGGCTTCCCTGGTGGTGCAGTGGTTGAGAGTCGGCCTGCCGATGCAGGGGACACGGGTTCTTGCCCCGGTTCGGGAAGATCCCACATGCCGCGGAGCGGCTGGGCCCGTGAGCCATGGCCGCTGAGCCTGCGTGTCCGGAGCCTGTGCTCCGCAACGGGAGAGGCCACAACAGTGAGAGGCCCGCGTACCGCAAAAAACAAACAAACAATACACTTAGGCTGAATAAAACTCCCATGGAAAACATTTCTTTCCCCAAAGCTAGCCAAAATCAACTTCGTTAGTATGTTACATAGGTTACAATATTTGCAAACTTATTCATCTGAACAGTTCCATTGACGTGGTTCCAGTTGGTTGGAAAGAGATACTTTATAACATTTTCAAACAAGTGTAAGCCTTATATTGCACTCCAAATTATAGAATTTAGTGTTTTAATAGCATTCAACTCTTATCAAGAATAACCTCAAGAAATGACTGTTCTGAATACTATTGCTCTATTTTCTGTAAAAGTTCTGATGAAGATGGTATCTTTACTTTCCTTACATAGGTATCCTTCTTGTATATTCCTCTTTAACTTAGTTGTTAAGGAAAATTTTGTCATACCTCCCAAACTAAACTTTATTTTATTAGGTAATGATTGCCATGTAATTAATCATAATTTATTTTTTGACCTGACTACCAAAAGTTTTGAACTCATTGTAATACTTATATATAGCAATAACTAGGTTTCTGATTTAACCATCATCTTCCTTTTATTTTTGCGACTTTTGATATTGTTTTGATATATGCATCTTTTATTACAAGCAACATCAAATTATTTCCTGAACCTGGTACAGATAATAAGTAAATATATTAAATCCTTTCGATTGTGAGCAACAGAATTCACTTATTGCTCATTTCATGCAGAAAGAGCATTTTGTATTCTCTTTGGTTGAGGCACTAGTCATATTTTTTTATCTCCTTCTTCCTTTCCAATTTTCGATATCTTCTTAGTCTTCTGATACATGTAGATTGTTATTTCTTCCATGAATCCTGTCTTCCATATGTAATCATATCCATATTGGTTCTATATGTTTGATTTGCCAGTTTATTTTTTGTAATATATGTTTGGATAGCTTTTAGCATTTTATTTGGCTGAGTCTTCTGATATTTTTTCTCAAATATATCTTTTTTGACTGTACTGTAAACTATCCAGGTTATATAATTTATATGCTACAATTCCTCAGTTCTTTAAGCTCTAGGGAAACAGATGATGTTTCTACCTTTTTATGTGCTCTAGAGTCAATCAGTGCTACTGCTGGGCAGTCAAATTTGCTTGGTTAATTTGATGGTATTTACACGGAATTGTTTCTTCATAGTTTTGGTTCTAAAATTTGGACACAGAAGTAACATTGAGTGGGTATAGTGCAAGAAGATAATTCTCATGGAATTATCAGAAATTTTAGAATCTTCTAATAGCTCTTCCATCACTCTCATTGTTAGATTCTGACCCATAAAGTTAGTCACAAAGGTTCTCAAAGCTGGTAAATGTATGGGAGGGTCAGTATATCAGAGGATAAAAGGTGTGGCTTTGTTTAAGTTGCTTTATAAAAGTATTGTAGCAGTGCCATGCATGTGTTTATGCTAATAATAACACTGACATTTCTTTGACTTTTTCCCCTCAGAGGTGACATTGTGATTGCAAAAAGCCCAAGTGATCCAAAATCAAATATTTGTAAAAGAGTAATTGGTTTGGAAGGAGACAAAATTCTCAGCAGTAGTCCATCAGTTTTCTTTAAAAGCCATAGTTATGTAAGTAACATTTCAATTATGTTATTCATTGGTATCATAGTTGATTAACATTAACTGAACACACTGACAAATGATTATAACTTTTATTCATATTTTGAATATAAGTTAGAATAATGCATTCATTAGAATTTAAGTATGTTTGTATCAAGAACAACATGGCCATTATAGTTTATATATTTTATTTCCTTTTAAAACCCTGTATAAAAAACATCTCAGTATTAGTTGTTGCAGGCAAGATAAACCAATGAATGTCAAAATAATGGGCAGACGTTTGAGGAAAAATAGTGTATTTGCATAGTCTCAAAGTATCTTTCCCGGGCTTCCCTGGTGACGCAGTGGTTGGGAGTCCGCCTGCTGATGCAGGGGACACGGGTTCTTGCCCCGGTCCGGGAAGATCCCACATGCCGCGGAGCAGCTGGGCCCGTGAGCCATGGCCGCTGAGCCTGCGCGCCCGGAGCCTGTGCTCCGCAACGGGAGAGGCCACAGCAGTGAGAGGCCCGCGTACGGGGAAAAAAAAAAAAAGTATCTTTCCCAAGATATTTTTACAAAGGGAAAAACAGTAGCTTCGTAGAGGAGAAACCTGGCAGACACCACCTTAACTGAGTGATCAAGGTTAACTTTACCTGTAATAAGACATCAACATAATGTGACCCCTGAATTCAAGAACTGAGAAGCGCACATCACCTTTGTGGTACTCTTGTAAAGAAGGTATAGCCTCATGAGAAAACATCAGACAAACCCTAACCTAATAACCCTAAAGGGTCATTCTGCCACATAATTGACCAGTACTCTTCAAAAATGTCAAGGTCTTTAAAAAAAGGAAAGTCAGGAATTGTCATAGACTGGAGGAGACAAAGGAGACATGACAAGTAAATGCAATCTGGAATTCTGGCTTAGATTGTTTCTCCACTGACTTGTTAGTGGAAAATCTGGTAAAACCAAACACAGTCTTGTAGTTTAGTTTTTTAAAATCCTATTTAAATGTTTAGGATAGATATTTTGGTGTAGTCAACTTGCCAACTCAGTTAGGAAGAAGAGCAAGAGCAGTAGAACGGAAGAGTGAAGAGCAAATGTAATGTGTGAGCCCCTTTCACCAGTCACATGGCTGCTGAGACAGCTTGTGGCAGGGGAGGGCAGCCTTCTGTTTACTCAGCATATACTCTTCTCTCTTTAATTATAATTTAATTTTCTATTTTTGTTTAAATTTTCTGTGTCACTGTCAGATTATTAATAGAGCTGTTACATCTGTTAAGTAACTTTATCTTCATCCCCAGTGTAAACATATAATTAAGAGTTAAATTGTCTTCATCATTGTAAATTTATTTTGACCTACAGTAGCCTCTGATTGCCCTATAAGTTTGATCAGTAGACTATTAAATAATCTGTTATTTATTTACCGTTCTTAATAGACTATGGTTCAGCTGTGCAAATGTTTATTACACTTTTGATGTTTATTACTACAGTGCTAAACATCCTAGGAATCCTTAGCTGATGGTGATAATGTTAAAGTTGAGAATGTGGTATCAGGTAACCTATTTTTCTGTGGCCTTCATCATGGATACTTATCCTTTTATTTTTCAAAAATGTCACTTATTTACGTAATGGTTTCACCTTCACATGACTATTTTCATTTCTTGAGGCATTCTAGTCACTTCTAAGTTGCTTTAGCAACAAGCATATACTTCAGACCAGAAATAGTTTTATCAACAGAAAGAATAACAAAATATATAAATGATAGCATCTACTATCTGTGTACAGTGTGTACACTGCTGTTGTTTTCTTTTAAAATTATTAGAGGAGGAACATTAGGATGAAAAGATTTAGATAAAATCTCTGCTAAGTAATCAGAGAAAATAACCAGAGGACTATAAGATGTACATTTTTTGAATATTCTATTTAAAGAAGACATTCATCGAATTTTTGTTTGTTGAGAGGATAAATTAGGGGACACTGCCATTTTGTTCCAGGTGTATTCCATTCACTTTGGTTTGCATGTTTATAAGTGTACAAACAATTGTAATAATATTGGCCAGCACTTAACTGTGTACTTACTCTGTACCTGACACTGTTGAAACTCTTTCCAAGGGTTAATTTATTTAATCATCAAAACAGTAACCCAGTGAAGGTGGTAGTAGCATTTGACAGATGGGAAAGCTGAACAACAGGGAGGTTAAATAAATTGTCCAATTTCAAACAGTAAGAGAAACAGTTGGAATTCAAACACAGGTAGCCTGGCTCTGTCCAGAATCTATATTCTTTACCACGCCACTACTTTTCATCCCAAAATATCCTCTACTTACTATTATTACTTCTACTCCCATCTCATAAATTGTATTTCCCTTAAAATGTATTTGTCTTTATTATTTTTAAAAAGAAAGGCAGCTGTTTCTAATCAGGGCCAGTATTAGTTCTGAAAGACAAGCCAGTGATTTTTGAAGGCTTCCCGGCTCCACCAGTTTTACTAGGCTGCGTTTTTTAAGCCATAAGAATTGTGTGGCTATTACAGAACCACTTTAGCAAATGTGTTCCATTAATCAAGGTGACTTATAACAAAAATTCATCCAAGTTTGGAGCACTGAAGAGATATCCAAACCTTTTGCATTCTGTCCCTCCAGAGTGTTCCCTTTTCCAGCTATCTCAGAAGCACACTGGTGCTGCATGCTATGAAAGGGGTTTCTTCCCCTTATCTGTGCATCCTTTCAGAAAAATCATTGTTGTTTATAGGTTATGAAGACATTACTATTCAGATCTTGATTGAGATGCATAATAAGGATGATATATATTAAATGTGTTTTGAATTTCAGGCAAAAAACATTTATTCTCCTAAGTAGGTGCTTCAGAAAGCAAAACACCAAAATTGTCATTTGGAACCTAGAACATAGAGTTTAGCATATGAAAGAAATAGCATTGTTTGTAAGTTGGCAAACAAGAATATAAACAGATCATTGGTTAAGTGATGTGAAACCATTTTATTCATTCCAGAGTTCTAAAAGTTCAGGTGGCAAGCAGCACTTACGAAAGGTGATTTATTTTTTGCATTAAGCATTTGGAAACGAAGCAGTCCCTATCAAGGTCCTATTGCAGTGGGTTTTGCTTATTTTCATGGTATTGAGGCCAGTGATTTTTTCCCTTGGGTTATGGGCTGAGCATTGGCTACTAGGAAATGAGCTTAATTTGTGACTCTCAAAAGAAACAAATTGTACTCAGCTCAAACATCTTGAATAACTTGCCTTTCTATACTATAGGAATTCCTCAGTTTGCTGCTAGAAGCCACTAATTTGCCAAAAATAATTTATTTGGAAGAAGCATTTAGCAGGTAGGAAATACATTAAATGAACAGGCATTCTCCTGTTGATCTGCACAGCAGGCGATTTAACGTAGTCTCCATTCCCCTAGGGAATATAGGGCCAGGACTCAGGAAATACAGTAAAATTTTCTTATAAAGCTAATCAAGAAACTGTAACACTTTATAATCTTTCTCAGGATAACATTGTGTCATAGTTCAGGGCTGTGATTTTAATCCATAATGTAACTGTGGTATAGTTAGTCATTTTGGAATACAGTAAGTTCCTATCAGCAAACAAACATGCTATAAAATCTCCCATCTAAACAAACAAACTCCTTTGGCACCACATCCTCCTATAGGAAAGAGTCGTGCATACTTACTGACTCGACTCTGAACTTTATATTCTCTTTTGAACTCATTCCACTTAGACTTTGGTCCCCAGCACTTTATTGAAAAGGCTGTTGTTAAGAGTCACTGATGACTTCTCTGTTGTTGATCCAGTGATCAGCTTTCGGTCCTCGTTTTACTTGACCTATTCTTAGTATTTGAAGTAGTTGTTCTTAAAGCCTGGTTTCACTTAGTTTTGGGGATACCACTCTCTTTAGGTTTTCTTCCTCTCTTTCTGCTTCTTCTGAGTGTCCTTTGTTGGTTCCTCCAAATACTGGAGTAACTCAGGGTTTGTATTTTAAACTTCTTTTGTTTTTATATACGTGCACTTAAGGTGACCTCTTCCTGTCTCATGGTTTTAAATACTATCTAACTCAAGACCTAAATTTATATCAACCACAGCTTCTTTCCTGAACTCCAGAATCATATATCTGATAGTCTGTTTAATATCTCTACCTTAGTATATAATGTTCCCCTTGAACTTAATATGTCCAAAACTAAACTGATTTTCCTTCCAAAACTGGCTTGTCCCACATGTATTTCCCAATCACGGTAAAGGCGCCTCCATTCTTCTGCTCACTCAGGTCATAAACCTTGGAGTCATCCTTGCCTCTCTTCCTCTTTCACCCTCCCATCCAATCCACTAGCAAATCATGTTTACAAGATTATATCTTGTAAATATAATCAGAATTAGACGACATCTTGCCCCCATCACTGCTACCATCCTGGTGCAAGTCAAATTCATCTCACTCTTGTTTTCTTGCAGTAACTTCTGAACTTCTCTCTGAGCTTATACCTTTCCCATCTTCTTGCATCCTTACCCCTCTACTGACTACTCTTCACACAGTAACTGAAATGAACCTTTTTAATAATTATGCTTTTTCATAAAAATAATGTTACTCTTCTACCCAAAGAGCTCAGTGGCCTCCCATCTCATAATTAAAGCCATGGTCCTTTTGATGGCCTACTAGACCCTACACTCTTCCTGCTGCCTGTTCTTGTAATTAAAGTTTCATTGGAACATGGCCACACTCATTTATTTACATATTGTCTGTGACTGCTTTCAGTAAAACAGCAGAGTTGAGTCATTGTAACAGAGACTCTGTGGTCTGCAAAGCTTAGCTATTTACTATCTGGCCTTTTACAGAAAAAGTTTGCTGACCCTTGCTCTACCATGTAAGGTTCTTAATGGCAGAGGTTTGTTTTGATCTCAGCTGATTCCTCAACACCTAAACTTTATTTGGCATCTAGTAGATACTTTAAAAATACTTGAAGGGTGGACAAATGGATATATGACTAGAGTCTGACAGTGTTTTGTTTTAGTTTC